AAATCTGATTCTTTACCGAAATTTGACGTACCCTCCAAACTTCCAGACGATTCTGTGTGCATAGACGACCCTCCGCGGAAGTCTGATCCTGTACCGTAATACGAGTTACCCTCAATGCTTCCAGACGATTCTTTACGAGAATTAGATCCAGTGCCAAAGTGTAACGTGTTTCCTTCGGATGATCCTCCTTGGGAACTAGACCCAGGGCCAAAGCGAGAAGTACTACCTCCAGGCAATACTTTATTGAAGGTTGAACTTCCTGATGATAAATCTGTTTCGTCGAAATGTGCAGCTCCGTACACACCACGGGATGAACCATATTGTATGTCACCCGCCTCACCACCGCTTTCTGATTTGAATACGGTGGAAGTACTACTTGATCCTGATGTGATAACGTGACTACCCACCTTTGATACACTACCTAATGAACCTTCGTTGTGAGAAGATCCAGTATAAACAGAAGATAAACCGGTTTCCTTGGATTCGTAATCATTACGGATAACACCTCCTGTTCCTGCAGACGACCCAACGGTAAATGTTGGTCCTTGATTAACATTGTTTATCGAAGAACCAAAACCTTCATTACTTCCACTGTTTCTTCCATTTCCAGTAGCAACATTTGATTCTAATTTGGAATTGTGGTATCTAATTTTTTTTTCATACGATCCATCACCCCATTGAGATTTTGATTCTTCTTCGTCTTTTTTTTGAATTTCCAAAAAGCGTTTTTTTTCTTCTTCGGTTAAATCTTCAAATCTTTTTGTTTCTGTTAAAACTGTATTAGAACTAGAAATAGTGTTTTCCCCCTTGATAGTAACAGATGCATCTAAGCCACTGGAAATTAAACCACTCGATTCAAAATATGATTTTCTTTTACGGTCAATCTGCAAAGCATACGTATATAATTAACACATATACATTTTATTTTATAATTAAATGTTGAAAATATTTGTATAGGTAATGCTTATTTCATTATATTCAACATATTAACTTACATTAATTTTCAATGGGTTGATTTCTTCAATAGCTTCACATTTGATTTGGCCACTGGTTTCAGGCATTTCGAGTAAATATAATAATGGATCTCCTAAAATAAAAAAATTATTTCTATTGTTGAATATATTTAAATAATATTATTTTAGATTAACGTGAACACTAATAGTACAATATATGCCTATTATTAATTGAATCTTAAAATATTATATGTTGATATTTTATAAAAAAAAATAAAAATAAATAAATTTAATATTTTTATTACCTGCCAATGTAAACAAGGGCCAATCAATATAGGCTTCAGCTTCTAATATATCTGAAGGTCCTTTATTTCTAATTCCGTATATATGAATAACTTGTGGACCTATTTGCTTTTCATCTGTAATATTGACAAAGTCTTCTGCCGTTATGTTATAATGCAAATCCACAGGTTTTGATGTTCCTTCGATAATTAAATCGGTGTCTACTCGGAGAGGCACTCCCAAGTATTTAGTATTGTCTGATATTGAATCTAAATTTTCGGGATTTGTACTGTTTACCATCATATTGAATTCATATCTAGCTTTTGATTCGGTAGTTTGATATGGTTCTAAAACAACTTTAAATTGTACCTGAAAATGGAATTGAATAAATAGTTTGAAATCATTAAATAGTTATAAAAATATCTCACATATTTATCTCGAGGCAATGGGTTTCCAATGTCACAATGTAAAGTGTTGTTCGTCATTATAGATGGAGCTGAACATTGTACAGGTATATCATTTTCATTGTCATCTAATCTTTCTATTTTCACGTAATTAACACCCGGTGGTACAGTCATATCAAAAGTGGTCTCAAACGAATCTTCACCTTCATTTTGTACAATGACATCGACTTTTAATTTTTCATTAGATCCAAGTAAGAAAGATTCAGAACTCCTGAAAAAAAAAAGAATGGTCAATAACATTTACTTTGAATCATTTTGTGACTTTTGTTATTACGGTGTAGCTATTAGCCGGAGATTCGGTATGCAAATGTTATCTCCTCCACAGTTCTTTTGTATACTTATCGAATCCCTTGAAACGGCAAAAAGCTCATTATCGAGATCTAATACGGGCGTTAAAGTTCTAGTGAATTTTCTATTCTCCTCAATAATTCTGTACCTTAATTCAGCTTCTATTGAAGTCAATTTATCCCTAATATTATTCTAAAATCGTAACGCAACGTTAGTAAAATAATAATATTAAAAATAGATTCGACATAATACCTTTAAGTAAACGTTGAATGTCTTACAAGATTGAACATTCTTTTCCAGGGTTAAGCTATGATTCAGCAGGTTTCTGTTTTCTTCCGACAAGAAGAACATTCTTGGAGACTTCGGTTTTTTAGCGTCCAGTACTAATTGCATTTCCATATCTAAAAAATAAAATTATTGTCTTCAAAATCACTGGTTCTGTTGATATGTTATATTTACTTACTAAGTTGATCATCAACCCCAATGCCTGTATACTGTAAACAAGTAGTTAAAAATAAACAGGGAACCCAAGTGCCATCTTTGGTTGTACATTCTCTTCGTTCTAATGCAATTTGTTTATTATCAGATTTAAAATAAACGGATGTGGTCATTTGGGCAACTGGTCTAGACTTCATAAAATAAGCTGTATCTGATTCGTAAGCTCCAATGATCAGATCTGGGTACTGATTATTATCCAAGTCTAATCCACCAGACAATGAGAAACCAAATGTCGAAATAGGTCTTCCTCCTAGAGACACATCTTCCGATTTGATCAGTTGAGAATACTTTTGCCGAATACCTGTTTTTGAACCGTGGTATATATAAACAGCGCCTAATTCATGTGGACCATCGTATGGAGCTCCAACAGCAAAATCTAAAATTTCAAACAGTGTTTAAGTAAATACTTTCTTCTAATACTAGAACTGTATTATTGAATTACCTCCGAATCCATCCCTATTTATATCTCCTAAGCCACTTAGAGCTAGTCCAAAACGAGATTTTGAGTTGAATCCCATTCTTGTGTTTCGTTCAAAAAATGTATATCCCTACGAAAATAATCACATTTGATGAAATAATAGAATTGTTCATAAGACATTTTTCTAGTGATCATTATTTGGTATCTTTCATCCAATACAATTGTAAAATTAAAATAATTAAATATGAACAGTAACTTAAATAGCAAGTTAATTTATTAAATTATTGCATCAAATAAGTTTTTAAAAATTTAAAGAATGGCTTAGAAAGTTATGATGTTTAGTTTATCATGAAAGAATACATGTAAATACGTTTTTACAGATTAAAAAGAAAATGTATGCATATTTTTAAAGCTTACCTCTTTTTTCAAGTATACGTAAACTTTTCCAGTCTCATAGGACCCATCATTTTTCGAGTATTCGCTGTATAGTGGTGCTCCGACTATAATATCATCACCACCATCTCCGTCTACATCTGATACGCAAATCGAATAACCAAAATATGCACCAAGTTGATCACCGGTAATGTTGTATAAATTCGTCAGATTTGTAGAGTATAAAATAACCTGTATAAATAGCACAATTTATTACTAAAATTATAAGCATAAACTTATTATTGTAGCGTTATTTTACTTTTCCCAAGAGTCCACTGCCTTTGGGCATGCCAACCGCAGCACCGGACTCCGAACTATATCCAAAAGTCCCAACAGCGACTGAATAACCAAGATACGAATCATCTTCCGTTGGTGGTCCTTCATTAGTTGAGAGAACTTCAGGTCGACTGTACAAATTTTGAGAGTAAAACTGACCTATAAAATAGATATATTTTGTACTTTTTGTTTTAAATATCACGACGTTCCTTTCTCCAAGCTTAGTGAGTTAAAAAGTTAAATTTTTTTAAAAAACAATTTATTCCCCTTCAAATTTGTTTATGTTATCCTAAAGTGTATTTAGTGTTTTTTTTGTGAATGAATATTATTTTGGTACAGAATGTTTCGAGTCTCGAGTGTCTATCGGATGTTGTCATCTGTTGCACGTGTTACTAATGAGCATCTGTCATCAGCAGTAGTACACCTGTCTCCATGACGACTATAGACCATTTATAGAACGTTCATTTTGTTTTAACTCTTCTCCGGACATTTATGTCTTTTTTATTATTTTCCATCTAAAAACATTTTCTAGACCAAAATATAAAACCCGTGAGCTTACAAAATATGTTTTTGTACTATGAAACACCCTGTACCTATATGGTGCATGGTTATAGGTGTAATTTAGAGATTGTGTGGATTAAAATAATTATTTAATCTTTTTTTTCTCTGGAATATTATAAAAATATTAAACATTACAACGAAACTATTTAAAAGTTGTAATTACAAATTAATGATTAACATAGGCAATTTAAGCAGCAGATGTTTAGTAATACTACGACCAAAGCAAAGCGAAACAATAAAGCATCCAAAGAATTTCCACAAATCACCATTATGCAATTCCCGATACCCTAATCATGCCAATAAACAGGGCTTGAAATTGATTATCATTAATAATAAATTAAAGATATTAATATTGTAATAATGTAATTCAACTGAAACAATTCTTAATCATTAAATTGTTATCTTAGATTTAAAAATATATCCTAATACCTGAACATTGTATCATTAAATTATACTTCACAGTTCTTGATTGGCAAAATTAAAGAAGGGGGGACTCTGTTAGCTTAAAAAAAAAATTGCGTCCCCAAAACTTATAATTAAGCGTTATAATTATAATGTATTAATTGTATTATAATGTATTAGTAGGGGGACGCTAAAATTTATAAAAATTAGAAGGGGTACTTCATCCTCCTGCGTCCCCCCTAAAGTCGAGCACTGATACTTCAATGACAAAAGTAATCACAGTAAATTAAAATATATAAATATTCTTGAAAAAAAAATAACATTTGATAAAAAAAAAAGTAAAAAAGTAAAAAGTATAAAAAAGTTTAATCATTATTGAATTAAATACTTATACATATTTTTGGTAATGAAAATAAGATTAAACATAAATGAACAGTGGTAAAGATGAAAAAAAAATATTCTTCAATTAAAGCATTCGACCATTAAATTTTAAATGTATATTTTTTTTATAATAGGTTTACAATTTCAAGCCCCATGATTAAAATATATTATAGGTTAATGTCATCAATGACTTCCGGAGGGAGTATTGTAGTTCCATTTTCATTTTCAACACTTGTTTACCTTCGTCGATGTCGTCGATGATATATTGTATTGCCGGTAAATATGGCAACCGAGCTGCAGAACTGACTGAGTATAATTGGCCTGCCAAATAACATTAAAAACACGGTGTTTTACATCCAAAAAAAGTATTAAGCCCCAACGAATGAATCATGCCCAAAAATATAGATAAAAAAAATGCACATTGTTGTCTTTCCCAAAAACAAAGAATATGTGTTTTCGCTGAGATCGTTGTACGATCCCCAAATATACAGACAAAGCAACATAAACTACATGCCGAATTGTGAAATTAACAGTGCATGCATAGGAGGCACATCTTTTCTAACCTGGCGTAGGAAAAATACAAATTTACATACATACAAAAGATACAATAATATAGTGATTTTAATGACTAATATTTAATTTTCAATATTTATTATAAATGTGTGTATATTTCATAAAACTATTGTATCAATGCAATTCTATGGTACCTATGCTGTAATTCGCATGATATAATCTTACCTTGCCAGTACCAACTTCCAACAGCGCCAATGAACAACCGGCTTCCGTCCTAAGAAAAAAAAAAAATTGAAAACACTATATTTAATTTTTCAAAATCTAAATGTCAAGTTAAAAATGTTAAGTTTTTTATATATATAGATTATGTACCTTAGAAACAGATGCTCCAAGTCCAGCTTGGCAAGTACCCTGTTTATGGTGACCCCAATTCCCTAGAACAGCAATATATGCATATATAAATCACTATATATTTGAATACACAAATTCATAAAATTAAACGACCCAGTTATTTTTTTAGGCGCTCATAACATATTTTTAAATCTATAATATTTTACTGTATTTTTTGAAAACTTAATAGTTATTTTATCTATAAAACTCTCTTTAGTAATAAAATGCAATTTTAATCAATTACAAAAACATGAAATAATACGAAACAATGTGAATTAATACGATTATTATCATCGTCATGAATTCGAACAAATGTTACGTCTACGTGATATTAAAAATTGTTATTATAATAGAGCCGAAATTTTTATTTATTATTTTTCTACAAACTATCAAACTTTTATTGTAAAATATTCTTTAAATAATTTTAAAATAAATTTAGTTCACTTACGTGTTCGGCATGGAGAGTACTCAGAAAAATCATTAAAATCCCTTGTAGTGTAACACGTACCGACAGGATCTTTTCTATTACCGTTGATCGTGAAATAAACGTATCTCGGAGCGCAAGCCTGAAAAATATATTAAACATGAATCAAGTTGTACATTAAATCTGATGACCATACTGTACGAGTATAAACATGTTTGTATATTTTCTTTAACTCAATTTTCCATTGCTCTATTACCCTATTACCATTTACGAATAATTTTAACTACCGAGGTTTTTTTTCGATGACTATGGAAATAATTGCGTTCTTTTGATTCCATTCAGTCGTGCCTTAGCTGTCAGACAAATTAGTATAGAACATCTAGAGACGAATATGTGATGTACGAGTATAACAATAATAGTCTCGTTATATGTATTTTTTTATTTTATTTTTCATTCCAAGTAGCTCTTAAATTCGAAGACATTGATTAATCGACCGTTACTAATACGAAACAAGACCATTTATTATAAAAATTATTTCATCTCAATTATGCCGCACGATGGAACTTTTTCTAAATCATTATTTTGTTAAAGAAAAATATTATCTAAACAAAACAAAACTAATGCAGACTGTAAATTAAGTACAATCTAACGCACATTTTATTATATGTCCAGCTTAAGGTATAACCATTAATAATATTCACTATTCAGATAATAATAACGGGCGGGTTTAGGCCAAAATAGGTATGTTTGTTAATCGTGATTCATTATGATGGAATGCTTTTTATTAGTGATTTTAACATAAAGATCTTTCTTTACTTATAAATATAAACTTTAGTATAGTATATTTTCAACTATAGAATTAATTAATTATAATTTCTATTGGTAGATTTATATTATTGTAATACACGAGTATAAAAAGTTTTTTTCATTTTAATATTTAATTTAAAATTCAAACTTATATACTTAACACTAAATTAAAATATTGAAAATGGTTTTTTCATTCAAATAGTATTAAGCTTTTTATAGAATATGCATAAATGTTTATATGTTATTTGAGTTTTGTCGAAATGTGTAGGAATAATTATTTAATAATAATTATTTATAAAAAATAAATAATATTAATATATGTATTTTGTGTACAACTATTTTATTAATATTTTCAAATCTCTCGATTCTTGAAAATAGAGCTTATAAAATAACCAAAAATGTTAAGCCATTTTCAATGTACAATGAAACGGTTCGAAGTATATTAAATTTTTCTCGCTTTATAATTGTATAGTAATCACTAGGGTTCGGAACTTAATGCACTTAAAAATAACTAAATATGCATGCACTTATGCGCTTAAAAAAGTACAAATATGCTTTAAAAATATGCACTTGTATTTTATTTTTGTATACAAAATTTTCATTTGCACAAATATTTTATAAAATTATAAATATAGAAAATGCAAAGTAATAATAAAAATTTAAAAAAAAAATAATAATAAAATAGCATTAAAAATGTTTCTTGAATAAAAAAAATGCACTTATAGAATATTTAATAATCATTGAGATATTTTCCTAGAAAAGTATTTATAGAAAATCATCGTATTTCGGTAACAGCTGTTCCTATTTATTATATAATATTTTATTTTAGATTAAACTAGCTATAGTAATAATTTATAGATATATATATTATATTATATTAACCAATAGGGGAAAAACATTGTTTTTAATATCGAATGGAAATTTGAAAAATACGATACAAGAATATCAAAAAAGTTCTATCAATATAAATGTATTTATTTTTTATTTTTCGAATTTTCATACTGAATCTTCTACAATTATAAAATATGCTCTAAAATCTAAAAATTACTAAATACGTAAAAATATACACTATACATTTTAATGTTTTTCGTAGTATCTTGAAGTGAATTTCTAGCCCACTTAGCAATAAATCCAATGGTGCACAAAAAAAGATACAAATGCAACAACTTCCGAGCCCTAGTAATCTCTGTATACTATTTCTGACACAAGTATTTTGATTATTTTTTACGTTACGTTAGATCTTGATTTTCACCTATTTGCACTTCCACATCGGTCGAACACGTCTTTCATCTAGCAAATTACCCACCCGTATTAAATTATTGTCCGATGACTTATATGTACATCCGTAAGAACGCTTGTTGTTATTATTGTTGGATCCACCAAACATAGACCTTCTAAATTATGTTATCAATCGGTTGTTTATTTTTTTTTCTCAACTCATTCTGCTGCTGATCGTTCCTTCTTTCGGGCACTACACCAGAAATCCAACTAATTCTATAATTACAACGATTTGAGTTTGCATTTATCCAATACATATAAAATATATTTTCTATGGTCTAAACCGGTCACGGACACGTAATCAACAGCGTTGTAACCAAATCGTTTCGAGCGTTCCCCGCCAGATATTTCTAAATTTGGAGCTCTGCTCTTTTTTCGTCTCCGAAACCGCACACTACACCTGAACGAGTGGGTGTTTCCGTTCTCGTCATTCTATCTGATTTGTAATTATTATCGTTCGTATTCGAAAACCTACACAGGCTAACACATTTTATTCACTGCATCGCGGGATAATCAACAGAAAATTCAACTTTTATGAAGCACGTAAATAGGAAGCTTAAAATTTAATTACAAAAAATAAAAAACTTTATGCAGTTGAAATAATTTTATTTTGATGCAAGATAGGTGATTATTACTTTTGAATTGCTGTTAAAAAAGCTCAACGATAAATAAGTTTATGAATCGTTAAAACATAATATTGATAAGTAAGATATTGGTAACGGGGAACAATTTAAGATTACAGTTGAAATGTTTTTTTATTACTACTGTATATAGATATATGTTTTGTCATTGGTATAATTGTAAAAATATAAGTAAAAACATAAATTATTTATTGTATATCAAAAACGTTAAATTTAAAACTATAAACATAAAAAAAAAATATATTTTTTGATTTTTGTAAAGCACCAAATAAAAATAATCAATATGCATATAAAATAATATATTTAACAGTTGTGTGAAACATAAACAATTTAAATGGAACCATACTAGATTTATATTATGTTAAAATTTAAAAACTCTGAGATTTTATTGGTAAACTTATATTATTTATATGCCTTGCTATTTATGAACGATAAAAATCAAAGAGTTAAAGCGTTTGGATTTGGCATAAATATAAATGTTTTAATTTAGTTGCTACAGTTTGAAGACGCTGATATCCATGTTACTTTTAAACATATTTTTGAAGTTTGATCAATAAGCTAACGATCAAGTAACATGTAAACCGAGTAAATGGGTTAAATAATAAGTTAATTTTAGAGAAAATAATACAAACGAAAATTAAATAATAGAACTCAATAGAAAATGCTAAAATTAACAACAAATCAGTTATTTATTAAAAACTGACGATTATTGATGACGAGAAACATTTTAAAATATATTTCTATTTCAAATTGTACTATATACATTGACCTATATAATTGTGCGAGACAACAAAGTTTTAGTTGCGTTCATATTATACATAATATACGTGTACACGATTGTCTACTTTTGTACATTTATAAATACGTGTTGGTTTGAGTAGAACATTTTTCATAGTACATACTGTTTACAGATTATTGCAGTCATCTATATTTCGTATTTATTATTTCCGAGCGGTCGATGTCCATTGCGTTGTAATAAAACCAACCGTCACAATTTGTCGTCGACCGACTTCTGGACAAGAGTACACTTCAGTAGTGTCCCTTGTAAGGGAAATGCTTATAGTGCACACACGCCGATAGGACCGGCGATATAATGTTTGCACGAAGACCACGACTTATTATATCATACAGAAGTTGCGCGCATATGCTTTTGCTTGTGATGTTGTTTTTTTCTCCTTTCAAACCGCACACGACTGCGAGGCTTATTCGACTACATCGGCGACGGTTAATATTTATTGGGTTTACGTCGATGTATTTAAATATATAATTTTTCTGTAGGCCGGGTGAGTACAAATATCGAATACAATGGCAAGCGAAATGTATATAGGATGAAAAGAGAATATAAAAAAAAAAAAAATCGCCTTTTATGTCGTTCGAACGTCATACTATCCGCGTGCGGAGGAGCTTCAGGCGTGCGACATGCTCGTTTTACAATCCACTTTGACCTCGGGCAAACCGGATCGGATGCAGCGGCGTTCCGTTTCATTCAGTGTACGATATCGTATTATATAGGTACTATTTTATATATTTAAACATATACTTTACATAATATGTGTTCGCGTATATTATATTATGGTTAACTATCTATCTCTATATACATGTGTATGAGAGTGCTTCAGTGCTTGTGATAATGTGTGCGCGTACATGTATATGTACTTTCAACTCGGTTGACGCGTATAAAAAGGAATAAAAATAAAAAAACAGAGAATAATGATAAGATTCATACCTAAAACACATTAAACACACGTATTGCACGCATGCACACACGTGTAGGTAGCCCTTGTATTATAGTAGGAGACATAATATTTTAACAGTCGGCGGGTATCGGGTTTCATAATCGTTTATTCGCCGCCACGAATGGATGGATGACGCGCCGTCACTCGCGGTTCATGCCAGTTGGGTGTTTTCAAAACAAGTTGAAAACAAGCGGTCTTTTTACGTCGGGGTCTACTGAAGAATTAACATTTAACGTTTTTTTTCTATTATTGTCCGAAACGATACATAATCATTAACGATGATTTAGGTAGTCGATCCTTCGTAGTCGTGCGTTCGAATTTCCTTTCTTTATTTCTTTTCACTTTTATTATACTGTAAACAAACGCGCGACGAAATGTAAATAAATGTTTAACAGGACTTTGTATACATATGTATACACAGCACCTATATTCTAGTACAATAATTTTAAATTTTTGTCCGTAACGCGCAGTGTATATTTATGTATCGAAGGTTCTGACTCCGATCTTTTATGTACAAGTCTAGAAGGCGGACAATCAAGATTATGATTTTCCAAGCCGTCATATGTTTAAAACCCAACACTTTTGACAATAACCACCTGTGAAGAGAACCCCCGACCGATTTATCCTAGACAACGAAAACACTGTACGTGTACTATGTGATGGTAATAACGGATTTTCCTATAGTCAAATATCTGAAAAAAGAAAATCATCGTCAATACAATTGTCCTTAAATACGATCTTACGTTTCTATGGGTTTTATTAAATTTTTCTTAAGACCAATTCATTGTTGAACTAGAAAAGGATTCTTATATATATTGTACATTGAAACACATGATAAAATAATCATTTTAAATCTCGTACCATGACCATAGTGTTTTATAAAATGTTATCCCGTGATAATATTTTATAGACAAACTATTATTACACATAATTAGGAAGTTTTGTTCAAACTTAGAAAACATACTTTTATGTAGAAGGTATAAAAAAATGGTGTTTATAACAACCAAAGACTGAATAAATATCACCCTTTTCTGTGCACTTGATTAAATAAAACATAACTATGTTATGAAAAAATGGCTTATTTCTCTTGTTATTAATAAATTCTGATTTTAAGCCTTATTAAGATTGTAGCGTTTCTCGAATAGAAACAAAACCTGATTCAATAGGTATATATATAGGACAATTACTTTTTTAATGTAATCATTTTAATTTTGCGAAATCAAATAAACAGTATTGGAAGCTTTATGCTTCATAAAATAAACATATAAAACATGCGTTCTTATGAAGCTGTCGGTGTACGCTGTACATTGTAAAACCATGTAGGTAGGTCAGATGTCTGAAGAGTGACGACCATAATGAGTAATTCATTAATATAAAGGTGCACGAAGCCGATGTCGTAAATATAGCCTCGAGGTTGTTTTTATTTCATGTAAATGTTTGTTTAATTTTTAAATTTTTATCATTGTTGTGAATACTATTCGAATACAATTCAAGACAAATATGTGGATTTCCACGCCACCTGGTGTTAGGTATTAATTACTTCACACGTTTTGAAGAAAGTAATGAATAGTGTACACATACATGCGCTTACAGTGAAAAATTATCGATCCTGTTACACGTACTAGACACCTCGTATAAATTCTTTTAAACGATTGTAAATTCCCGGGAGTATTGAGTATACATTATTACAGTATTATACTACTTATTTTATAATACGTCTTGCCCTTTAGCTTATTAAGAATAATTAATCTTTAATGCGATTTAAATACCTCACTCATTGTAAACTAAATAATTCGCGTACCTACACGCACCATTAAATTTTTATATGACACAGGTGATTAGGTACACCATTATTTTTAACTTATATATAAGACCATTCACACTGTCACAATATAAATCATCAACAGAATATGATATCTATAATAATATAGGTATATATAATACAATATATGAAATATATTTTTTTCTTATCTTAAAAGATCAAAGTAACAAAAGTACTGTACATTTATACGATTAACAATACTTTTATTCTCACTACTATAATAAATCTTTTAATTATATTATCGCAAATAATATAAAAGAAATTAAAATTAAAAAAATGTAAAAGCTTGAGTTTTATTAATAGATGACTGCTTAAATACGAAAAAAAGTATATAATATTATTTATTTTTTTATCATTAATTTATAAAATTATTTAGCATATATTAATATATATTTGATATATATTTAACATATTTAATATAGTTATATATGATATAAAATATAAGATATAACTTATGAGTATGGCAAGTTACATGAATAGGTGCTTATTTTTTTGTTGAGGGGAGAGAGTGATTAACCTTATTCAAAATTATTCGGGCTAGGTTATTGAGGCTATCTATAGCTGAAATAAAGAGGTATATAACGTATATCCTAAATCATGGTTACAACAATACGGTCTTTGGTGGATAGGGAGTGATAAGTTTCTATACCCCCCCTAAATTACGTGCCCAACTAAGACATTTAGTAAACGGATTATTTAAAAAATGTTTTAATTTTTAGGTAAGACTATATTAGCTTAATAAATTGAATTTATTTTTATTTTTTCGATACTAATTCAAAAGTATTCCAAGTGACAATGTACCTATAGATGAGATCTAGAAACATAAAACTAAAGATAAAAATAAAGAAAGAAAAAAAAAGAACACACACATACACACACTCACACAAATTATAGTCGTCTTCAATGCACATATATACATATTGATTATGTATGGAAACCAATTTGTAATTTGTCTCGTACTTGATCTATTGGCCAACAGAGTCGATTCCTTGTTCGCGTTCGAGACGTGATTTTTTTTTCACAAGTAACCACTTCAAAAAAGCGGACATGCTCTACCATAGTTGTCGCACGATCAGCAGTAAGATCGGCAGTAGAAACTAAAACAATTTTATCGAAGACCCAAGAACTTTTTCTTCTATTTTTACCCCTTGCTACTTTTTGCTTCTCCTTTGCCTCACATATTTCGTTTATTGGGGAGATTTACATTAAAAAAGAATATAAACAAAAAGAAAATCCCGGGAGGTTTGATAAAATAAAAATCACATTCCATTTGATGTAATGTCTTTAGTGAATAGGGAGTGATTGTTTCTATACCCTCCTAAATTACGTGCCCAAGTATGGCATTTTGGACCTTTACTTTTGTTGATTATTCTGAATTATTTTTAGGATACGATGACAATTTTTTTTTATATTTAATACATGGAACCCACCTTTAATAATCTCAATAAGCTTGTTCTGTTGATTTGTTGTATAAGTACTCTACGTTTTACGTTCTAGATAAATATAACGTACCTATTTTATGAATCATAAAATAAAATACGTTCATAGTCACATATTGTATTCGTTATTATCAATTTATCAATAGTATTAACTAATTATTATTAACTAATTACTAATCGAATTATTTTATTTCAGGCATAAACAAAATGTTTAAAGTCAAGATTAATTTGGTATATAAATGTTAAATATTAACACGAAACAAAAATTAATCAAAACAATTTAATAGACAATAAAAATGTAGCGAATCATACATTTCAGTAAATGTAAATCTATTATGAATATATTTAGTTGATGCACCTATAAAAGTATCTGAAATTATATTAATAATTACAGATTAATTGAAGTCTAGTAATAGAAAGAAAAAACAAAAAAGTATCATGTGAAAAAAAATTTTGTTCTCAATATATAACTTTCCAAGTTTTTAAATTGGAAATAAAATAAATATACTATAAATAAATGGGTCAAAAACAAAAGTTGTGTATATTATTATTTCTGATATTGATTTTATAACGAATCAAATTACAGATATTAAATGAGTAAAATATAATGAAATTATGTAAATAATCAATGTCTAATGTTAATAAATATGTATATACTATATAATAAATAGTGTATACATTGATTAAAATATATGTTTATAGTTAATGATGTATACATAACTAAAATTACAAAATTTTTAAATATATACAAGCAGAATATTTTTTATTTATGGCTTCTGTCAGTAAAATGTAATTATGTAGAGATGATACGTAGGCCAGAATCTAAACTTAAGTTGTTGTATATTGTATCTACTATACCATTTAACAACTCAATTGGATGAAAAAAATATTAGAAGACCTCCTGTGAAACATCTATCGATAAGTAGACAAATTGAATTCGTGCAGCACACTTAATTACAAACGAGAATCAAAATTATGTATACCTTTATAGAATATGAAATACTGTGTTTAATTATAATTTCGTTATGCTGAGGAGTGAAACATTAATTATTTGAAAGGTAAATCAATGTATGTTGATTGATTGCTGCAGTAGCCAACGGGGGTAAATATGATTGGAAAAAACTTCTTGAACCCATGACAAATTTCATAATAAATCATTTAAACCTACAGCGTGCTATTAGATATTAATGAGTCATTAGCATTCCACAGCCTAGATTAGATCATCGGATGATAAATAATGATGAAGAACTGTGAGCTTTTTTAAATCTTTGGAAACATATAAATGGGAAAATAATATATACTGAATAGTATATTTTGCTGTTCCTCGTATACAAAATATGATAATATGAATACTATTCATAATATCTTTTTGTTTGAATTTATATTTTATTTATTTATTTTGATATTTGAATTCTGAGTTGTTTACTGACTTCAAGAAATATTACAATATTAAAACAACTCTAATTATATTTTTTTCTTTTTATATTTTATGTGTTTTAAAAATGTGCAGTTAAACGCCATATATTTCTTAATTTTATAGAAATAAAACAAAATTACCATAGACACAACAATTTATACTTGAATCACCACCACTGTACACATATCATTTTATAAAATAAAACCCTTCGATTTTTATTGCTTTAGTTGTGTTATAATTTAAGATTAATTATTCAATGTCTACTCACGCTTTAAACATTTATTTATTATTAATATCAAAATTAAAGTATATATTTCATATAAATATTTGATATCGTATATTTTATATATTATGTGTAATCTGTGCTGTAATTAATTTTTAGTAAACGGATATCACATACATTTTGGCTAAAAGCATGGATTAAAATCTACAGTTACTATCAAAAAGACTCGTAATGTTTAAAAAATAAAAATGTGATGGATGCCAAGCTTAAAATTATCAAAACTGCTATGATTGTAAAAATTATAAAAACACTATAAATTATTAAACAATATTAAATCTAAATTTATTTTTACATATCCTGAACACACCGATTAACCGAAATTGATATTAACAATTTAATTGGATCTAATCTTAAACAGAGATAATTTAATCAACTAATGAGAAACAATTAATGTAATAAAACATTCTTATTTGTCCTTGAATAAAATTATAGTATTTATTTTATTAAGAGTAACAAATATTTAATATTTACCAAAATTACTCCATTGTCTCCAGAACTTCTTACTGTTGCACCAAACCATTGCCGTGACTTACTGTCTATTTGAATTGATCTAGTTGAGTTGTTATTTCCTGTTTAAAAAATAGCTTATTTTAATTATAACAGAATAAAATGTATAATAACAATGGTCTATTTAACGTTTTTAATGAATCGTTTAATTAAAAATTATTCTCATTTCAAAAGATTAACAAACAAACCTATTTGCTGTGTACACTCAGAATACTACTACATTGTTTTAATTTACTATGCTATTATCATAATAATATATATTCTATTTACATAGTTTAACAATTTTTTTTTTTTATAAGTTATTTGCTTTTAAGTTAGTTTAATAATAGATAAAAATGGGTTTCTTAATTAATATTGTTGTTTAACATTTAAAAGTCAAAAATAATTGATTTAACGATCTTCATATTTAAATATGAGTTCAATTAAAGTTATTCCAAAATAAGGTATTTAACCACAATAATGATTTATATATTCAGAAGACATCGATAAATATCAGTTGATAACTTTTGTACTCTTATAAGCTGTATTAGGAATTGGATAAAATGATAAAAACCCTAAATGAGCGACGAGGCATTCATACGCGTTTTGACATTAGTTTACGTTGGGTCAGAGGTGTTGCTTGCAAAAGTCTGAATTCTACTGCAAATAACAATAACAATTTGCTAAACAATAGCGGCTAGCCATATGGCTGAGATGTCTACTACGGTGCGCAATATATCCGTTTGCAACGGCCATTGTACCGGTGGCGACAAAATTAATAATCGAATGGTGCCGTGGTAGTGGGTCAGATATGGACTTGTGGATGTTTGTTGAAAAAACAATATACCTAAATATAGTCAAGCCACTATACATGCATAAGATACGTGGTGGTGTGTATTTTTTAACGCCAAAGAACTCGGACGACCTTCTTTAGCCACTGATGCAGCATCATCCAAACCACTTATGCACAGTCAACGCAGTGTATGACATTTTTTTTTCTTCTCAGAACGCGCTTTTCCTTAACAGGACAACTAGTATTACGTATACAGAATAAATAAAAAGAGTTTTGTTTGCGTTCAGACGGTAAACCATCCGGATGACAATGTTATACGATCAGATCCGTTACTGACGAGTTAGTTTTTTCTTATTATTTTCAATTCCTTACCTTACTTCTCTCATCCAACCCTTTTCCTTTTGAGGTTAACGAACCGCTTCTAAGTTCACTAATAATCATATAAATTGTCATTCGACCTAAATAACTTGTAACCGGCTGAATGCGTATTAGTGACAAATTACTTTTAAAATATACTTTTTTTATAAAAAACTTATTTGGTTTAGATATATCGAGGAGGAGAAACATGAATAGTTTAGGAATCCATTTAAACTGAATATTATAGCTTTTTATTTTTATTATTCATAGTTAAGTGTTAGTCGGATAGAATGAGTATATTCATCGATTTTATCGCCAAAAAGTATCTCAAGTTAGTTTTATAAAACATTTTTTATTTGTGTGTGTGTGTGTGTGTGTGTGTGTGTGTGTATGAATGAGAGTGATGATAAGTCTTAAAATGAACCTCTGTTCTGAAGACTATTGTATTATTACCTTTTGATTGAGTTCACGCGAATACAATTCAATACAATGTGTTCAATCATTGAAGCATAAAAAATACCCTTCATTCATTTTCAGCTGTCAACAAGAAGGAAATTGTACATTAAAAAGTAGAGAATATAGCCCTAAAACTAATTTCAAATCTAGGGTTGGTTATATTTTTACAAAATAGGGATTATTTTCTCACGGTATTTTGTACATTAGGAAATAAAAACTATGTCGTTAAATTATAGTTAGACGTTCAACTATTCATAAGTACAGTTATCTGTTCAATCATTTACTTATAATTGACTACATTAAAAATTGAAATATTATAATTTATTCTATTCATGAAACAAAATTTTCATAGAAATAATTTATTTTACCTTTTAACGCGAATTAAAATTATTGCCCTAAAAATAATTTTAAGACGGATAATTTGTTATGTTAAAATGGATCCATCGATTGACAATCATGAAAAAAAAAAAAAAGCAATTTTAGTCACAACAAGTATTCCTTGCAAACAATTTTTAAAGAGAAAACTGAAAAATCAATAAAGATATTCCTGATAGGTATACAGTTAGAATTTAAAAAAATAAACTTTATTGAAAACGTTTTAACTTTATTAAAATGACTAAATATAAATTCCTGTTAGACAATAAGTTTCTATTTCTTACGAATTTATTAATTTGAATATCAAAGTCTTAATTATTCAATTAAAGTTTTAAATAAATATATTGTTATGTAGAAAACAAATGTAGATAATAAATGATTAGGTTTTGAAAGTGTCATATCCGTTGTCAATTTTAGTCTGAATGGCTAATAATTTTTATTTAATGTTATCTGATAAAAAATACCTACTTAGATAACGAGTATATTGCAATTAATAAGTTATGAATTTATGACATGTGTAAATAACTATCATTTAACTTATGAGTATACACAAGATTAATTTTACAAGAAAACGTAGACTTTTCCATATTAATAAGTTAAAAACAATAAAACTTTTACTTATCATTGTTAAATCTTTCTGATTTAGTTGACATCAATATTTTATTTAAAAAATATTTTAAGGATTAATGTTTAAAAAATGTATATAAAAAATTAGTGTCACAAGTATATACGAATTGTATAAAAACGTTTTAATTTTTAGTTTAAAACTTAGAGGCAAGACTATATTGGCTTAATAAATCGAATTTATTTTTATTTTTTCGATACCAGTTCAAAAGTATTCCAGGTGACAATATATATGAGACCTAGAAACACAAACCGTAAAAACGGTGATCTAGTATTTAAATAATTAAATTTAATTTGAAAAATGAATTCTCACACACACACACACACACACATTCACATAAATTATAGTCATCTTCAATACACATATATACACGTTGATTTTATATGGAAACCAATTTGTAATTTGTCTCGTACTTGATCTATTGGCTAACAGAATCGATTCCGTGTTCGCGTTCGAGACATGATTTTTTTTTTTTTACATGTAACGATTTCATAAAAACGGACATGCTCTACCATAGTTGTCGCTCGATCAGCAGTAACATTGGCAGTAGAGACCAAAACGAGTTTATCGAAGATTCAAGATTTTTTCTTCTATCTTTACCTCCTCGCTACCATTTGCTTCTCCTTTGCCCCACATATTCCGTTTATCGGCGAAATTTACATTAAAAAAGAATACAAACAAAAAGAAAATCTCGGGAGGTTTGATAAAAAAAAAATTACATTCTATTTGATATACGTTCGGCACGGTGGCCCGACGACAGTTGAATGCCGATCCGTTTTTGCCTCGAAGCAAGTGCCGTTTTACTGATTTTATTACTTTTTTTTATTTCTATTGCTGCCTTCTGCTATATGCCGAAAGACATTTTTCCCAGACGTAACTCTGTGATTTGATCTACAAAAACATAAAGACTTTTTAAACACGTTATTTTCTATGATAATTTAGTCATATGCTCATACATATTATATATTTTAAAAAAAACGTTCTCCTCAAATGATCGTGATTATGATTGAAGATTGATAAAAATTATTATTCCTTAACTACTTAAATCCATAAAGATAACTTGGAAATACTCCATTCAGTATTTCAAAACTAATGCTTCTAAATAAAAAAAATGAACATTAATACTATTATCTAGCTATTTAATTTCCATGTGAAATTAAAACATTTTAAATATTTCTATAATTTAAGAGAAATCTATTTAAATCAACTTTAAAATAAAATTAAGAATAATGTGACAAAAAAAAAAAAATGTAATACAATTTACATCTTATTTGTTTTTAATTGCTCATCCTATTACTGAGAATTAATCAAATAACATCACCTACTCCTACCTCCTAAATTGTAATTAATTGTTATGATTAATTAAAAAATATATAAAAATTATTCTTGATATTTTTATAAAGATAACATTTTAATTTAAAGAAATATCCATTTTTATAATATTTCCAATAAACGCCAGATAATCTAGAAGTTATAAATGATAATCGTTTGAATCAATATTAAGGTTTCCATAATTTATCATACTAAATTACACTTTTATTGTTTATTAATTTATTATATAAATAATGTCTAAAACAGTATTTTTCATAAGACTGTAGTCTGTAATCACAATATATCTTGAACGCAACTTAAAATAATTCTTATAGTATAAGAATACCTATATAATATAATGAATATAATAAATGTAAGACTTATATGGTATATTTCACAACGATAATATGGATTCAACCATCATTCGTGCAAAATAAAAGTGTACACGTACAATCTTGATTCGTAATACCAGTTGATAGATTTAATATGGTGGACATAAATTAAAATCAATGGATGTTGATTTTGTCGTAACCATGTCGCTGCTAACTAAAACGTATTCTACAAGAAGGCAATAAAGCATTGGCATGTCAACGCAAATCAACAAGATTTTTTCGACGTCTCATTATATATGCATTGACCTCACCATTTTATTTTACCGTTGACCCACGTCCTGAATTTCGTGAAAGATGTATTTTGTTTGTTTATAAACACGCATGGTATTTTAATTTTATACAATCGTTTATCAGAGACTTGAACGATGCGTTAGTAAGAAAAATATACATATGTATACACACAGTCGCTCACAGGGTGCGTTATGGGTGTTGAGATATTCCGCAGATACCATGACCGACAACATAAATTTATGTACAAAGGGGGTAAACGGTACGCATATTAATGTGCCGGGTTGTATTATAAACCGGGCAATGGTGAACGGCGTATGTGATAGGAATACAGATGAGTGTACATTATTTGTCTTTCAGACTTCCAATGTATGTTATCAAGATCGGAGCTGTAGCAAACATTTCAGTCAAAACCGGTGACGATGCTTTTGCTAGTCCTATTTGACTAATGCAAAAGAAAAACAGGAAGTGACAGTTTATCATACGGGCATATGTACATTGACGGAATAAAATACATGAATACATTTATTATAAACCAATATATATTCAATAAGAATGATAAAGGAACGCTTATGTAAAAGTCGACTGCATTCGTTTGAGTTATAAATAAAGTTAAATCCCTGTAAACAATTTAAACTATATAATGTGTTCAAGAAGTTGTTTTTTTTTAGATGAACATGTATAAAGAAAAAAGACACCACAAAATCGCTATGAATTAACTTTAGAAGTATTTGGTGATCCTCGGTGGATATTTTTAGCACTTCTAAAATGCCGAATAGTTTCCTCATCTGGACTTATTTACTTATTGGATTACATTTATGACCTTAATACTTTTACCATGTCAACATTTTCTAGACATTTCTATTTTCGTGAAGTTAGATTAAGCTAAATATATCGTTAATGTATTAATTTAAACTGTTATTTAATTGAAATTATTTTTTAACATTATTTAATGCAATATACAAGTATATATATATAATGAATATGTATATATTGAACATAAATAATTATATAGAAAAAAAAATTTCATAATTGATACTCAATTTAAGTAACTATCATTTGTTTTTATCTAGCAAATATTACATATTGTTCAATGGAATAATTAACAACGTATATAGTTAATTAACACTTCCATTTTCATTCATGAAAAAGAACTTGGTGCCCATGTACTACTAATGACGTAAATTTAAAAAAAAATATTTTTGAATAAAAATGTTAGTTTACGTGATATACTGGAATATTATTTAATTCACTAAATACATTAAAAGGAGTAACTTAATTTTACGAGTATTTGAAAATAATAACAATTCACCATATACCTACCTAGTTCATATCTGGTACTTGTATAAGTGTACACTGCCTCCCCCCCTTTCAACAAAATCCATACTTGATCATGATTGACCAATCCATTAGCACAATTTATAATACTGTATTAGTATGATATTTTATTTACATCACAATTTGGACACGAAAATCAGTAGATATCGAAAAAAAAAATCCACATAAAACCTCATTAATTACAAAACTATTAAAAAGACTACCTTTATGTATGTACACGCACATATTACAACCGACGACTCTATATAATTTAATAATACAGTGATACGATTATACATTAGGACCGGGAAAATCCTTTGCTCTTCATCTCCGTTCTCTATCACTTTCACGCATATTCTTCGCCGAGTCCATTAACTCGTGATACACATATATAGCAATCATAAAAACCAGACTATCAGTACTTTTTCCCTTCTCACTTCTTTATTTCGTCTCTCTCTCTTTCTACATCCAATCCATCTCCGCGTTTACTTGGACACAACCTTTTAATCGTTTGCCGGCCGTCGTCTTGCCGCACAAGCTTCCATAATAATAAATTTCACTTCGTTTTGGCCTCCGGCCTTGCGGCGGCGTTGTAGTGCATTCCGCGGCCATCTGTTCAATCATATAATAATAATAATAAACGCTGCACACGCGCGTTTACGAATATACGCAGTGTCCGACGACGACGTATACACACGCGTATGTAACATAACACACACACACACACAACATATCGTATACACATCCATATTATATATATACATAAATACATTCACGACGTAGTAAGTACAGTCGTGGAGTTTCTTTTGTATAGTACAACACTACGTGCGAATTTCCCACCTCCCGACATAACAGCTCCCCTCAAACCTAACCACCCCTTTTATCGTCAACCAACACCTCGGCGTCGCGTCCGAAGAGATGTTATATTAAATCACGTTCGCGAGCTCCCGGGAACACGGACAAACGTGTACTTATATACATACATATCCGAATGGGTATAATTCGCCGCCGAGCCGGGTAATGGTACGCGCAGGTACGTGTATTATAATTTATACATTTTAATGTCTTCATAACCACCGCGGCTAAGAACACGAGTCGTAAATTATACAGTGTCCTATTCAATATATACGTACGCGCATAGTACGCGGAGCATATACCAATGTGCATAATATTATATAATAACGGTTGAAGCACTTTTTTTAATGCTTTTTACACCGTTCGTCGACTGCAGGTTGGCGCGCGCCCGCTCCGGCGCTATGGCTGCAGGACGGCGTGAGAAAACTTACCTCTCGTGTCGAACGGTATCTCCTCGCAATCATCCTCCCTGGACGTGCCGCATCTGAACACAGCGCCGCCCTTGACAACGCCGGGCTGATTAGTCTGCGCCTCCGGTGCTCCGATCAGCAGCCTACAAAAAACGAAGAAATCGAAAATCATTCGGATTATCATACTGAATTATACGTCTTGGTATTATATTATACGTAGTGTATACTTGTCTAATAACTATTACACTATCTACAATAAATAGTAAAATTACTTAATCCGAGGAAAACTCTCGTTTTCGTAAAAAAAAAAACAATTTATAAGTTGTATACAATAGTAATACGACGATTACACGATTCGTCAGAGTTATTTGTCAGTTGACGCTTCGGGGCCGAGATTCGAGTGTGCGGACAGGAAATTGACGCGCGTTGTACAGAAGATGCATCGGAGCGTGAACTCGAAAAATAATGAGGTTATAAGATACAATGATAATAATAATAATAATAATAAAAATAATAAATTAAGAATCAAACATTGTTCATGTCGTGTACATGAAATTGACAGTTTCGGAGGCAATCTATTGCAGTTAGTAGTAAAATAAATTTAACGATAATAAGTACCTACTAAAAAATAGAATAAAAAATAATGTACACGTGATAAAAATGCCATTGCAAAGAAAAAAATAAATCGTAAACATTCGGTTTTATGCACCTTTACGTAAATGCACGGGACACTAAAGAAATTAATTTTTAAACGAAACATAATCACTTTCATTACTAAAATTTAAACTATACAGGTTATTCGTTCTATTTATTAATGAAGAGGTTTACTAGAAAAATAATATAAAATAAAACAATTTTAAATGCTTTCTTTAAATTTTAAAAAGATCCGAGGTTCTAAATCCCAAAATATTTTATGCGTGTTTACAAGTATCAACAATTAAAGCTCAAAAAAAAGTAAATGCCTACTCACTTACCAATTGGAGTTAGTGATAGTTATATTTATACTTTATTTATTATGGTAATTTAGGTGTAGTTAAAATCATTAAAGCAGTGTGTTGGTAAAATAATACACAATGTTTACACAATTAAATTTATATATATGTTTATAATATAATCGTTTTAATGTGTACATTTTCAAGACTTGACAAACCATCATTCGTCTATTGTGTTGAAGTATAATTATAATTGCAATTTAGTTTGTTAAAAATGTTTTATCATCCACGCGTTCAGAGGATAAGAGTAAAATCACGATAACATAATGTTGTCTTTGTAGATACATATTATAAACGAGTATAAACGACAGTTAATTAATGTGCTGCCAGGGTAAAATGTAAATGTGTGTGTGTGTGTGTGTGTGTGAGTATCTGTAAATCGCGTGCGCCAAGAAGACGCCGGAGCACTAATAACTTTACGTGGTAAGTGATTTTGCCGATCTATTAAAGCTAAACGATTATCGAATAAATAGCATATGATCCTGGAATCTTATTACTAACGCCTTCCTCACGCACTGTCAACATGCGTCCAAAAAAAAAACCTAAAGTTACATAATTCAAAATTTTAATGGAAAATCGTGATCGAGATACCAATACAAATAGTTAACATTATTTACTTTACGAATATTGAAGTAAATCTTAAATAAATGTATGAATAACAAGACTAAAGAAACGCATGCCGAGAAATTTCAATGTAATTTCAACTAAGGTTCTAAGACAATTTTCTACATTAAAAGTACATGAAACGTATTAGGATTTAATAGATGTAGGTTAATATAAATAATATATATATTATTTATTAATATAAATCCTACTATAATATCAATAAAATTCGTAGTAATTGAAAATTTACAATGTATTATGAAAATCCAAGTCACCCAAAAGTCACAAATATTAATAAATGTACGAGAATAAAACAATAACTACAAATATTCATAATCTTTGTTAAAAAAAAATTTGACTGAAAATAACAAAAAAAATATAATGAAAAAATATTTTTATAAAAATTATCTGAACTAGAATTAATAATCATATAATAATTGAGAAAAAAATTATACAAATTGGAAAAATAACAAAACATTTAATAACTGGAATTTTTTAAATTTCTTCTAACATTATTTCAATTTTTACTTCAATGGCATGATTATTTTCCCTATTATTTGACAACATATTAAAATATCATATATTATTTACCATTTATACTAAATCTTGATTAAAATATAAATTAATTTTTTATTATGAACTTTGCTCATATTTTTTGATAAGGTAAATAAATTACAATTAGTTAAGTTTTGGACCACCCTAGAATTTTAATTTAGCAAGTATTAGTTACTGAAAACAAAGGACCCTTCCGAACTTATTTAATGACTCGTGACCTGGTTTCCTGTGGTTAAACAAAAAAAAAAAAAATCGAACAAAAATGGATCACTGTTTAGAGGTAATAAATTATAGGAGTGGGGAAAAGAAACAAAGTAACCGATCGACTGTTCATGTAGAGTGATAAAATCCCTTGCTTAGAATATTCACAATGAGGTCAAAGAAGCCACACCCTGACTTTATGTATAATTCAGGGCGTTGTGTTTCAAAAGGAACCTTTTATTATACTCGTATGTATATAGCTCACGATATTTTCGATTCTTAATAAAATGTTATTCAAAACGATTATGGCTCGATAAAGCTATATATCGATAAACACATAATAGCTATTAACATTTCATTATTTCAACCATAATGTACATGACGAAACCCACGTTTTAACACGTTTTATGTTAATAAAATCAATTATTTTTGTAGAAAAGTAAATAATTATCTATAATTTCATATTTTGATCCATGTGTGTGTATTTGTGTGTGTAAGTGTATTATTATGTATGAGTTATTTCTGACCAAATTTTATAAAGAAACAATAAAGTGCATATTTGATAATATGCGTATGGTTAATTCATTTGTTTAACTTATTTCATACGAAGAAAAAACTAACAATTTCTGTAATATTAAAAATATTATATATTAAAGGTATTTAAATTACGCAATATTTTATTTTATAAAACCATCAACAAAAAATAATTAAAAGTAATTAACTTTTTTTAACTCACGTTATTATTTAAACATAAATTGTACAATATTTTGTACTAATATCATGTTAGGTTGTTGGTGTAATAAATACAGCTAGCGGTATGAACTGTTATTTTCTTTGATGAACATTCAATTTATTTTTAAAAAACTATTATCATATATAAAGGTCAATAATTTTATTATTTATCAATAACTTCAATACTAATTTTGTTTTTTTTGCAATTATTCAAATGCAATTTTTTATTGCGTTATCGTACAATTCACCTGTGTACAATTTATTATGAAATGCATTGATGAAAAACGTTTTACAAATATTTAATGAATGATGTGAGTATAACCAATGAAATTGTGTATTATAGTAGTACTTATATAATATAATAATATAATGATATTATTTGAAAACTACTTTTTAATTGAACTCAATGACATTAATTTATTGTATACATTTTAACAATATAGTAGGTATATAAGTATTTTTAATCATTATTGATGTATAGTTTTCTGATGTACTCTATTAATCAAGAAGTTTTAAATTATTTTAAATCATTATTTCATATTAGTTAATACAACTAACAAAATATGCTAAGTTAAAATAAAGCATAGCGAAGGAATAATGTAAACATTCTATATCATGCATGATAATTGATTTAATTGAAAGATTCAAATCCCCATAAAACCTTTAAAATATACCTGCCTATTATTTTAATTAATAAAAATAATCATTAGCCAAACTAGAAATAGAACCTATTATATTGCATTTTTTTTTACGCTACCATAAATTAGAATACTTTTTTTTATAGAATTAGTGTTCTATGCATATACTTAAAAATTATAATTGAGCTTACTATAATCAATTAAACATAGAAGTAAGAACACAACATTTTATGTATTTAATTTAAAATATACATGTAAATGGCTGTGACAATTAGATCTTGAAAAGATTACTGGTTTAAAAACTCCAGTACCTTTTGTTACTAACGGAATATATGATATTTTTCTTCTGAGTATCTTTATTACTTCTTTGTCTAAAGACGCAGTATAAAATGTATTTAATAAAAAAAAACAACTTTTCCATGAGTAAGTTAACAGACTCTCGACGTAAATGGTAACAATTAATAACCTGTATTTTTTTCTTTCAGTTGTACTTGTAATTATATAATACGAGTATATAGAGAACTAAGACATTTCATAAAAACGATTATTATAGACTTAAATTTTTCCTTACATAGCTATGTAAGGAAAATTTTCTAAATGTACCTATGCATAGGTATATTTAGAAAAAATAATAAATATAAATTACAATATTACGAAAACGTGTGCTGAAAATACTGAAATATGTATCAGAATAATCCATATGTACTTTTTCAATAATACATGAGAAACATATATTTCCAGGGGCTATATTATTATTATTATTATTATTATTATTATCATATTATTATTATTTTTTTACTATTTTTTTTCTACCAAATATCTTTTTATTAATTATAAACGTGAATTGAGTGCAAATTAAACTTGATTGCAATAGCTTGCAGTTTATTCCAATAAAATCCCCTATGAAATATTAAATACCATTGACACCAATCACAAAACGATCTCAAATAAATTAAGAGAAGTAATTATATCATTGAACATTGTAAGAGAATAATAGTATTAACTTAATAAAATGTTTAGAGTATACTTCTTTATTAAGTACAATTTATTTAAAACATCACCACATACTCAAAACGAAGTTGTATGGTTCATTGTTTTTTAAACATATACATTTAAATAGTAAAAATGCCTAAAAAAAATGAATTGTATGACATATTTATATTAACTTCAGTGGTACCGTGTCCATAGATAGTGATCTCTTTTGATGTTATAGATATTTGACAGCCGCCTCATAGTTTGGTGTCTTATTTCACGATCAAACCACACAAGGATCTTAAAGATCAAATTTCTAACCAAGTTTTTAATTTCAAGTGCCGTTTCGACCTATTCTTATTATAAATATAAAAAAAGTAGCTATAATGTTAGTTTTTAAGCTGGGCTACTGAAAAAGTATAATTCGTTTAACTTGTTGAAGAATTATAA